AAGAAAGAAAGAAAGAAAGAAAGAAAGAAAGAAAGAAAGAAAGAAAGAGTAAATATTTACAGGTCTGGCATGTTTTATCTTGGTAGTAACAGGTGTTCCCATCACATACACATAGTTTGTATAGCATATGATTTTACTACTGTTCTGTTCTATATTTTGTATTCTGATATGGACTAACAACTAATCAATGTATTACTATTGTTACTAGCTTGATATAGCCTTGAGTTCCTTGCAAAAATATTTATATCTAAGATTATTGAAAATATGCATTTATTATTTTATTTTGCATATATACAGGTAGTTCTCGAACTATAACTGCTCATTTAGTGATCATTCAAAGTGTGGTACTTATGACTAGTCCTCAAAGTTCATATGGTCACAATCTAGGCACTTGGCAACCCACTCACACCTATGGTGACTGCAGCATTTGGAAGTCACTGGTCATCATTTTCAACCTTCCCTGCTGGCTTCCCACAGCAAAGTCAATGGAGAAGATAGAAGAGAAGGTTGCACATCACTCCCATCAGTTGCTTTTGCCACTTTTTTCTCCCCAAATGCTTATGGAGTATGAAATCTCAGGGATCTCATACTCAGTAGCACCACTCCACCAGATCCACCCTTCATAGCACTTTCCATAGCCCTTACCAGTCCATCTACATTTTATAGGATCTACCTACAGCCCCAGCCAACCCATCAACCACTTGTGGCCCCTTCCTACTTGCCTATACTTATAGTACTATCCCATTGTACACAGACACCCCACAGCACGAACATGGCCCCTCCTCCCTGTGCACTGTTTGGCTGGGCCTCCAACCTCTTCTCACTTAACAACCTGCATGGTTCTGGGAACTACAATGGCAACAGAGACTGCTGGGATTGCTATTGCTAAATAACACAGTCATGTTCTGTTGCATTTTATGACTGTATCGTTTAGTGATGGAAATTCTAGTTCCAATTGGTGTAAGAGGACTGAGGACTATCTATAATGCAAAAGTAAATGATTCCATTGTATTATTGAAATCAGGAAAGATGCTCAAAGGTGTGTAGTTAAATCTAAATATGAAGTAGAAAATCATGCTCAGTTACGGTTTAATTTTTTTGCCAGTATAGGAGAAAGTAAAATTAAGCCCGGAACAACAGAATCTTCTTCGTTATATAATGGATTCCTATAATAAACAGCGGATTCCTCCTGAAGTTACCAAAAAACTTGTAAGTATACATGCTTTCTCTCTCATAGAATGATTTAGTGATCAATATTTTTGGCTTAAAGTAGTGTGAAAAAGTGTCAATAAACAGTAGGGGTTTAGTGGCTATTTTGACACCTCTGTACCATATTGGCTACAAAATTTAATGGCCATTAGGTGGCAACAAAGTTTAAAAAGAAAAAAAAACCTTTTAACTTGTAATTATTTGGGCATCCTCTGAATTTTTGCAGTCTAGCTGAAGTACTGCTATTTATATGTAGTCTGGTCCAGCATGAAGTGAAGGCATAGAATTTGGATACAGATCTCCTAACAAGCAGAACAGAAAGTTTTTAATCTATTGTACAAAAAGTTGAATGTGCAACATCCTCTATTTTCCATCTACAGTGTATAAGATTATGACACTTTTAAACTGCTATACTGTCTCTATCTGTTTCATTTTCTCTTATTGTTGTCTAAAATAATCATTTTTCTGTAATATTCATACTTTAATAATTTTCAACTGTTTTATATTTAACCCTATACATTTCAGATAATTGTTAAAGAAAAATTAATAACTCATTCCTATTTTTTATGACTAGTTATAATTAATGATTATTTTGTTTTGATTATCAGTTACAAGAGGACTTCAGTGCAGAAGAAAATTTTCTTATTTTAACAGAAATGGCCACTAGCCATGTTAAAATCCTTGTGGAGTTCACTAAAAGGTTACCAGGTAATGAGATGTTGAATAAGTTTGGTCAAATTCTATTTTTAGTCAGAGAGATTTTTTTTATTTTATATTGCTTTAATCCTCCTAATCTAATTAATACTCAAGACACCTAATAAAATAGTTTAAAAATAAAAAAATAGAAAGTAAAAGGCAACAATAATATTAATAACTTTTAAAATTAAATAACTGATGAAAGTTGTTTTATAGATTTTATAAATACTGAGGGGGGACATAAATTTCAGGATGACAACCATCTTAAATTCAATGCTTCTGCTTAATAGATTGGGGAATTGTATATCATATAATTTTTAACTATTAGGAACTTGTGGATCAACAGGTGTTGTGGCATATTCCTCCAATCCTTAATAATAAGTTTTAAATACAAGACTAAGCCCTTAAAAATTAGAGGGAGACAATAAACAGCAAAAGAGTGATTAAACCTTTGCTTTTAGAAAATTACAAATGGTCCAGATAAATTTGAAATATATTTTTGGAATTAATTATAAGAATTCTTATCATAGGAAAGTGTCTTGAATTCATCTTTTTTTTTTAAAGGACTTTAAAAATTGGATACTAGAGACAATTAGAAGAAACCACATAGTGAGATTGTCTTTAAAAAAATATTATGGAAGAGGAACCAATTTTATTTGACAATAGTGAGACTGACTTGAAAGTGAATTTAAATATGACAGGCTACAAGAATGATGTAGAAGAAGATATTACACTGGACATACAGAAGGCTGATAGCCTAATAATTAAAAGGGACATGCAAATAACGAACCAAGAGAATGACTTGGATAATTTTCCTAGATTGGATTTATAGATTGGATTTCTTGATTTAAAAATTTTATGAAAAAGGAAAAATAAAAAAATGAAAAGAAATCAAGTTCTAGGAATTATTTGAAGGGATTAAAGATAAATATTGTTAGAAGTAAAAAAGAAAGAATATAAAGATAGTTTATTTGATCAAGGTTAAAATAAATATATTCTTATCTCTTGTAACCCTTAATGGATTTTTAAGGACATCTGGATTGAAATGACATAGCTTTAAGGATTTATTTATAGATAAAAGATGAGATATGGAAAAAGGTAGGATTTGTTGTATCTTAACAGAAGGTGATAAATTATTAAAATTGTCTATAGTTTTGATGAAGAGGGAAGTCATATATTTCTTTTTTATTCTTATTCTTTCATTTTTCAGAAAGTGTCTGTACTTTCTATTTTTTCTTTTTCTTTTTTTTACTTTTTTAGTTTGTATTGTTGCAATGGTAATTTTTAATACAATTACTATTTTAAAAAAGAAAATAGGCAAAATTTACCTATGGAAACAATTAACAGTAGATGTTGTAAAAAGTGATCAATAAATGTAGTGCTGTGCTGTTCTAAATTATTAATAAGTCAGACCATATCAGGTTACAGATATTTAGCTGAAATATCAGTTTTAACTCTAATTAGACCAAGTCTCAGTAGGGCAGATATTATAAATTAAATGTTTGTTTGATTTCATAATATTTTCAGGGCAATGAAAATTAACATGGCTCTAAGGAAGCTTATTTGGGGATTGGTGGAGACGTATTCCATTCACCTTGATAGACCAAGCCTCCACCACAGCTAACCCAGGTCTCTTCTATATCAGTTTATGACTAGTTGGTGTGGGGCTAGGAAAATAAATGCACATAAACCAGAACACTTTTACCCAATTATCTCTGTGCTTTTATAAAGAGAACACAGAGTGTAGTTGTTATAATTAGAAAGCAGAACTGATTAAAATATTGCCAATGTTAATAATTTGCCTTTAAAATGATGTTTGGAGATCTTTATTTGAAAACTTAAACTGAAATGAGTGGTGCCTAAATTTGATAAATAAAAATCCTTCCTACTACATGATACCTTATTTTTAGGTAATATTATATAAAGTTCTTTTACATAGTCTCTTTTCATTAAGCTAATTGGAACAAAGGAAAAGCAAGAACAAAAAAATGAATTAAAGAGTTGGAAAGCATCCAGTTAAATACTGTAAATTGATACCACATCAGCTCTCTTCTAACCCACAAACAGGAAGTTAATTTGTAATATGCTAATTAGGTTGAGAATAATCACCTTGTGATCTTAAATTAGATTAAGAGAATGTGTACATATGAAAAAAAAACTAGATGAATTCTTGTTTGGTGGCTTGGGAACCAAAACAAATACACCCTTCAAATATGTCTTTATAATTAAGTAGCTTCTTTTTTGTGCTGAGAAAGGAGATTTATCTATGTATTTTAGTTATCCTAGAGTGTAACTTTGTCACTCTAACAACCATTTTTCTGACTGCTAGTTTAATGTTCTCACGTTTTATTTCAGGTTTTCAAATCCTGGATCATGAGGATCAAATTGCTTTGCTGAAAGGTTCAGCAGTAGAAGCTATGTTCCTTAGATCAGCTGAAATCTTTAATAGGAAACTTCCTAGAGGACATGCTGATCTTTTAGAAGAAAGAATTCGCAACAGTGGTAGGTGTCCTTAATTAACAGCAAATGGAGACTCCCTGTTCTTTGAAAAGTTTAGCAAAAAAAAAGTCATTTTGTGAATGTTAAATTTCTCAAGCATTCAGTATGCATCAGCCTGAAGTTCAAGACTATCAAGGAATTATAATTGAATTATAAAAATATGAATACTGAAAATAAATTTGTTCTATTATAATCAGCCATATTTGGGAATGTGGAAAAACTCAGATAATGATATGTCATTTCTATCTCATGAAGTTCAGTAAAATAATCTCACCCATCCAAATGCATGGCATTTCTATAATCGCTAAATATAGATTGAGTGGAAAAACTGATATTAGTTCATCTACAATATATTCAGTCATGATTGATGTGTATGATACTCACTACATGGTTGGTTTCACAAGATTACCATTATTACTACTTTATAGTACCTTTCTGTGTACAAAATGTGTTCATTATCATTTTAATAGTTATAGCATATATAAGTATCTCAGCCATTATAAGTTAAGCTTTTTTCAAAGATGATCTAGGCATGAATGAGAGTATAAGATAAACATCTAGGAGTTAGGTTGCAATTTTATACTCATTTATATGGGAACAAGTTCTATTACCGCATAATATTTGACTCTAAGATATAAAGCTGTGCTATTCTGTTAACAATTATGTTATTAGATATATGTCCACAACTTAATAGAATACAAGGCATTTTACTATCAGATGGTTTTAGCAGTATTTATTTTCTGTGTTAATGTGTTATGCTGGTATATCTTGTTCTTGTTTTGCTTTGCAGACTTTTATTTTCTTGAAGACGGTTTGTTGAAATTCTCTTAAGAATTATAGCTAAGGGATGAAGGGTTTTAATATAGTTGCACATTCTAATGAATGCATACTATATTACTTAAATAAATGTATTTAAAATGTGCAACAGATATGAACTTCTTCTGACAGAAAAACAAAATCTTGAGGATTATTTCTGTAGCTTGTGTTGAGATGATTTTTATGTGAAAGTGAATGTCAAATTGTCAGATAGTCCCTATTGTCCACATCCATGAAATGCAGCAACAAAAGCTGAAAATATAAATATGCCAATAGATGTTCACTTTTTGTCACCTGCCACAAGATTTGATTCCCAGGCTTCTGAATTCCCCTGACAGTTATCAGCTTTCCCCTTCATCTGTAGACAGTCGGGTTTTTTGAATTTCTATGTGATAAAGAAGCTTAGGGACGACCTTTCTGACCTAGCATTCTTCTGTTAAGGCAGTACTGTATGGATGATGGTGGTGGCAGTGGCAGCAGTAAGGCTAACAGCCAAATAGCTTGTGCAGTGGAACACTATCTTACAAATAGCCCTTACTTCAAATATTAGATTAAAAAATGTTTCTATTTAGCAGCAACACTCTCACCTGCTTTTGTTCATTACTGATAGCTCCTCCTTATTATTTTATGGGCAGAAGCCTATAGCTATGTTATGTCCATGCTATTGATCAGTTTTCATTAATGTTCACAAAACTCAAGCTAACTTATGGAGATGGGCAAAAAGAAGATGTAACATTAATAAATGCATTTTAAATTACTTCTTTGGTAACATGGAGTACTCTTTTATAGTCATGCATTTCAGTTGCAAAGGATGTCCAACATTTGTGCATTTGCTTTTAAAATCAATGTATTTCCAAAGCAAATATCATATTTGAAAACCATAATTTATCAGTGAAATTGTATTTATTGGATTTTGTCCTGGTTTATAGTTCCAAACTCTTTCAAGCAGTTTGCAAGATTTCAATATACAAACAGCAGTATTAAAATCTATTCCATAAAATTCCAAAAGCCAAAACAGGTCATAAAAAAACATTTTAAAAAAAGATTAATTGTTTGGATTGGAAAAAATCTGGACAGCTACAACTAATGCAAATTAGTTTAGGTGGAAAACCCCAAGGAGGGAATTAACAAGATATTTTTTTAAAAAACTTAGATGAAAAACAATCAGTTCAGAAAATACTGTGATCTACTCATTGTTTTTTATTTTCCCAACAGAAAGAATCACATACTTTCTTGAATCACATGTTAGACAGGCATATATATATATATTGGTAGCAACGGACAATTTCTTGAGTAATGCAATAAGTGAAAGCTTTCAGAAAAACTGAAATAAGCCTCTAATGAAAGATCTGGAATTAAAAAAATACTTTGAATAGATAAGATACAGTGAATGAGGTAAAACAGTATGAGTAATTAATACGTGTGTTTATTTCTCAGTAACACAAGAACTAATTTGCATTTTGATTTAATATCTACTGGCAGCTTCAAGCCTATCCAGATGAAAGATCTCTTCATCCATATTAACAGCTGTCATAGTTATAATTAATTAGCTCCAAACCACCTTCCTCAGAGCTGTTTTTCTTCTTTTAATTTAAACATCTAGCTATAATAAATACATGAACAATGCTTATTGCTAAACAATGGAAATTTAAAAAAAGGGTATACAATAAAGAACACATTTGAAAACGGACATAAAATTTGAATTATACCAGTAACCAAATACAAATTGAATCTACCATTCAGCTAACCAATGAAGTTGCTAAAATAAAATCAGAAGTTTTCAGAAACCGTGTTTTACTTGGTTCATAGTAAAGATTTTCCCATATGGAAAAACACAAGTCATTTCAAGAATGGAAACCTCCTCTAGATGGAACCTGAAAAAGAAATATAAAATCAAAATCATTAAAAAAAATATTAAACACAGAAAGAATATTGAGTTCTCAACTTATGACTATTTCTTCAGCAATTATTCATAGTTATGGTGTCTGAATGGACTTACAAACTGTTCCTGCACCCCTATAATCATTTTCTCAAAATTCAGGTGCTTCACAACTCCTGCTCAGAGTATGTTGCAGATGTGGCCAAAAAGGCCCTTTTGTGTGGTAGCTGTGCCCTTTCTTTGATTGGAAGGCCCTTTAAGCCTCATGTCCTACTCAC